GCAACTCGCATTGCCACTAAAATCGATAAACACGGCTGGAACAAGGAGGAAAGATGAGGAGGGGAAGGAGGACGACGAACAGGAGGAGGGGGCGAACGGCGGCATTGTCTGTACCCACTGGCCCTATTCACGAGCACTGAATCACATGCTGTGTGCCACCCCATAAGGTACATACGGCCACGTGCAAAAAAACAACTAAATTGACCATTACGCGGCGATAGGGCAAAAGCCACAGCTTGAAAACCACCTCTCTTACATCTGTGTACCTGCTGGATTGTTTATAAAAACGCACGCACAGCGCCGAGGCGACAACTCAATTTTGAGAAGCACCTGTGCTCCGTCCGTGTCAGTGCTAGATCATCTAGCTTCGAAATCATAAGACCCAGCCCTTTGAGAGAAGGTGGTCTAACGATCCTGCTTTTTCCTCTTCCAAGACCCTCTTCCGCGAGGAGTTTGGGCGCCCAAAATGGCCCAAGGTGGCTCCAAGAGGGCCTCCGATGCTTTGATATGGCCTCCAAGGCGGCTCCAGATGGCCGAAGAGGGTTCAAGGTAGCTTCCGACATCCCTCACAGAGGCCCGACGAGGGCCACAAGACGGTTCCATGTGCTCCCAGAGCCCCTATCAGGGCCCCCAAGAGCCAAAAACCCTTCAAACACCCAAAGACAAACAATAATGGTTGCCTTCTCGCCTGTTCGCCTCCAAAGAGCTGTGAAACCTCCAGATGGCCCCAAGATGGCCAAAGAAAGGCCCAAGATGCCCCTAAACGGCGTCGGGAGCGCCTAAGATCGGCCCAAGAGCGCACCGAGAGCGCCCCGAGTGTGCCCCAAGAGGCGAATGTGATGGCCACAGGGGGGGATTGAATCGAGGACCTCCCCTCCAGTGATCGATAGCCTCCAAGATGGCCCCAAGAGGCCCTCCAGGGCCCCCAAAAAGGCCCCAAGAGAGCCCGGGGAGGGCCCTGAGGACCCAAAAAAAAACGCAAAGAGGACCTCAAGAAGACTTCAAGACGCGGTTTTGATGGCTCTGTCCACGTCCTCCTCCTCCTCCTCCTCCTCCTCCTCCTCCTCCTCCTCCTCCCTCCTCCTCCACCTTCCCCTCCCCCTCCTCCTCCTCCTCCTCCTCCTTCTCCTCCTCATCCTCGTCCTTGTCCTCATCGCATTATTGTTCCTTTTGCTCCTCTTCCTCACCGTCGTGGTCGTCGTGGCCGTCGTCGTGGTCGTCGTCGTCCTCCTCCTCCTCCTCCTCCGCCTCCTCCTCCTCCCTCCTCCTCCTCCTCCTCCTCGGTCGGTCGGCCGGTCGGTCGGAAGGCTGTAGGTTCGTGGCCTGTACAAGGATGGAGCAGAGCAAAGAGAAAACTCGGAAAACGTGAAACGGAAACGCATGCACGTGCAAAGGCGGAGGGGGGGAACGCAAGACCCGCAACCCGAGCACCACCTCCGCGCACCCTTAAGGGAGCGTCTTTCTGTGTCTGTCCCTGTGAGCCATGCAGTCGTAGACCATGGCATGGGTCATGAAGGGGTCGGGGGGAATGAAAAAATCTGCGGCCCAATCGTGAAGCATCCCATCGACAGAGGAGCCATGGACACAAGGAAACATTTTATGGACGTCAGAGAGCATGGTTGAAGAAGCAAGCGACACAATTGCTCGGGATAAACCTTGGCCTGAGCAGTCGTCCACTGTCTCCTCTCCCCAAGGCCCCTAAGGCTAACATGCACGCATCCTCCGCACCTACCCCTCCTCGGTCGGCAACCCGTGAGGCCACGCAAGGCGCGACAGTGGACAGAGAGGAATCGAGTAAGTTTCAGCGCACAACTGCCGAATTGACATTGGTTGATTTCACAACTCGCACTCCTTACAGCCTCTTAGACAAGCCTCGTCCTCCTCCTCCTCCTCCGTCCTCCCTCCTCCTCCTCCTCCTCCTCCTGCCTCCTCCTCCTCCTCCTCCTCCTGCTCCTCCTGCCTCCTGCGCTCCTCCTCCTCCTCCTCCTCCTCCTCCTCCTCCTCCTCCTCCTCCTCCTCCTCCTCCTCATCATCCTTCTCCTCCTCCTCCTCCTCCTCCTCCTCCAGCTCCTCCTCGTCCTCTCCTCCTCGGCCCCACGCGGACCCCAGGGATGGCCCTAAAAGACACTCCAAGGCCATCCATATTTCTCCCAGAGATCGCTCCCTTCATACTGATTGCCCGCTTTGTTTCACTATATGTGTCTCTTCGTCCCTTTCCCGCTGGCCCTCATAGTCCGCGTGGCCCTCCCTGACAACACGTCTGGTGGTGCGACATGGAAGAGATCTTTGAATAAGGAGGATGAAGGCGGGAAGCGGGGACGAGATGGAGGAGGAGGAGGAGGAGGAGGAGGAGAAAGAGGAAGGAAGAGAAGCACAAGGAGGAGGAGGAGGAGGAGGAGGAGGAGGAGACAGAGGAGGAGGAGGAGGAGGAGGAGGAGGAGGAGGAGGAGGCTGCTCAGAAGGGTGAACTAGCCCATGGCAATTCGACGGCCCAAAAAGGTTGGGCCTCCTGAGTCGTGTTCTGTTCGAGAAATTCAGCATCGACGAACTCTTCTGCGGAGTACGGTACAGCACAGGGGCTGAGGAAGAGGAGGAGGGGGAGAATGGAGAAGGGAGAAGGAAGAGGAAGAGGAGGAGGAGAAGGAGGAGAAGGGAAGTGCGAAGAGCGAGGAGGAGGAGGAGGAGGAGGAGGAGAAAAGAAAAGAAAACCAGCTGTTTTACCCCACTCTCCCCCGTGAGCACCAAGCGTGCCCCGCGCGCCGCCCCCGACTCCGGCCTAGGGCCGCGCAGAGAGCGGATCCGCCGCGCGCCGCATCTCTGACTCTGGCCTAAGACCGAGCAGGAGCGGACCCACCCGCCAGCACCCCGCGGCCGTCTGGCGACGGGGCGCGGCTGGGGAGAAAAAAAGGAGAGGGGCCCCGAGGTGGAAGAGAAAGTGGCGGACACAGCCCCAGACATGCCAGGCGTCGTGAACAAAACCAAGGCGGAAGCTTTTGGCCGTTTTCTACCTTCAGGAGCCCTCGCCAGGCCACGGGACCGTCAAAAAACGACTCGGGGCAAAACGCCGGTCCCTGGGAAGGGGGATCCAAGTTGTGAAACACAGGACAGAGGATGTCTGGGGCGCGCGGTGGAAGAGAAAGTTGCGGACACAGCTGGTGAGGCTCCTGGCTGCGCACAGACAGACCCCATGGGTGGTCTGGGCTGACCTCAACAATACCCTCTTCCCACTTCTCCTCGTCTGCAGCCCTCTTCAACCGTGCTCCGCGTCATGGAGGAGGAGGAGCAGGAGGAGGAGGAGGAGGAGGAGGAGGAGGAGGTCACAATTGCCCCCCCCCTTGAGGCCACAGGAGTGGAAACAATGACCGTCCCTTCTGGCGGCGCCCTTGGGGCGCTGCACGCCCCAGGGTTGGGCTGCTGAGAGGGCCAGCTTGGAGGGCCTGTTGAGGCCAGCCAGGACTACCCCGGGGGGGGGCGTCTACAGGGCAGTTTTTAATACATCGGATGTTTTTAATATGGGATTTTTAATGCACGATAAATTTAGGACAAATGCATGAACTCGTCGTTGTTTTTACTACTAAATCCCTGCATTTTCAATACATGATCCGCACGCGGAGCATGTATTCAAAAAGGCACTGTACGCGCAACCCGAAGCCGAAGCCTTCTCAGATACAGCGCAGCCGAGCAGACGGGGCCGGGGCAGGCATTCCGGCGCGTCATCCCTGCTCCGGGGCCACCCGGGTGGCCCTGGTGGCCACGGCTGGACGCAGCTCTCGAAAAACTGATCAGGAGGGGACCCTAGAAGAGCAGGGTGGGATCGGCTTGAGCGGATATCGGCCAGGAGCGGGGCGAAGGGTGGCGACCTTCAAAAAAGGCGCCCCCCCCCTCCGCCTCCCAGGCGCCCTCCATCCTTCTGAGGAGACCCCTTCCCAGGCATCCAGCGTCTTGATTGTCTCGATACGGGGTCCTCAAAAGTCCCCACCCTCTCCCCAGGGCCAGCTTTTCAGCCCGAACCGTCCTGTTGACGGCCCCAGGACCCAGCCAAGGCCTCGGAGGTCAAACACAGCCAAACACCTCCCGTCGTGATATTCCCCCGATGCCAAGTGGACGACGCCGACACCACGGCAAACCCACGGTATGCCCTGCGTCCCGCGCCTCAGGTAGACGAGACCAGCACCGCGCCAAACCCCACGGCAAGCCCACCGCGTCCGAGGCGGCGTTTGCTCTGGTGCCCGCGGCGCCCCCCCACAAGGCGGAAAGCCGCACGTCGGAACAAACAGCGCGGCGATATGTCCGGGTTTGAAGCCTCCAACAGGCGAGCAGCGTACGCCCTCCTGGTTTGGTCAGGAGGGCGTATACAAAGCTCCTGGGCCCAGAAGGGCCCAGCCAGGGGGCAGTGAATGTGCACAGGATTCCTCGCCCGACGTCGTGACTTTTTTCACGACACGAGCATGCTTGGGCCAGAGGCCTCCAACAGGCGACCGATCCCCTCCGAAGAGGGCCCCCCTCCTCTCTGGGAAGGCCGCTCACCCGCCCCCCCCTGCCGCGCGCCGCCGAGCTGCCACAGAAGCATCGACTCGCATGCACGGTTCTCCAAAAAATCCAGGCCCTACCCTCCCTGCCACTGCCTGGTTTGCCAGGGTCGGGAGATCTTCGCCAGATGAAGGCGCCATTAGGCCGAACTAGCCCGGATTAGGACCAGGAGTAGAGACACCATGAAGCTGGACTGAGTAGAAATAAAAGGGGAACATGGATGCACCAGCGCCGATGCTGAATTTAACCTCCAGCAGGTACATCATAAAAGGGGCCGTGAAAAATCACGGACAACAACTTTGCATTGTTTGAGGCCCCAAATGCCCTCGCGGATCGAACCAGCCCGGGAGGCGAGGCGGAGAGATGGGGCCAAGAGTTCCAGTCGTGATCTTCCACGGCGTCGACGCTCCCCACGACGTCGCATCTCTGAGGTCGGAGGAGCAGACCAGGGGAAGAGGAGAGGGTCAGGCCACGCCGTCGCCGAAGTGCACATTGTGACTCTTCGAGACCAAGCTGCCCTGGACCTGGTGCGCGCCCGGACCGGGCGTCGCCGCCGGCTGGTCGCTGAAGCGCTTGCCCGTGTACCCGAAGCCGAGGCCACGGCGGAAACCGTCCACGACGGCGCGGTTGTAGGTGCCCAGGAGCTTCCCGCACGTGCAGTCGGCGGGGGAGTAGTTCCCGGGCCCGGGGCCCTGCTCCGCCCTGGAGGAGCGGTCCGCCCGTGGGGCCGAGGACAGGAAGCCCTCGGACTTCGGGGGCATCCGCACCACCGCCGACGTATCCCTGGAAATCAAGGGCGTGTACCGGCCGACGGGCGGCACCTTCTCGGCGTCCCTCAGCGTCGCGTGCATCAGCGTGTTCTTGGCGCTCTCCGAGGCGAAAACCGCGTGGGGCGGGTCCGCCCTGCCCGTGCGGAGCTGTCCCTGGGCGACTGCGCGCGGTGCCGCCAGCCCCGGCGGCGCCTCGTAGTTGCCAGGCCCAGGGGACTCGCTGACTCTCTCGCTCGCACCGCCAAACTGCCGGCTCTGCATGCTGCCGAAGGCGAGGACCCCAGTGCTGGCGAGCACGGAGGCGGTGCCCTGGGCCCCGCCTGTCGTCGCCAAGAGGGTGGGGTCGTAGGCCCCTGGCCCAGGCCCCGCGGACCATGCTGCCGCCTGGCTGCGAGGGCCCTCGAAGCGGTGCGAGACGCCGAACGAGGTCTCGGCCGGCGGTCTGGCCGCTCGCCTGCACGGAAGCTCATACTGCCCGGGGCCGGGCACCCCGTCCGGCGGCCTCCGCTGCAGGCGCTCGGAGGTGCTGCCGAAGAACTGGAGCTCGGGGTGGAGCTCCCGCAAGCTCTTGCGCCCCGGCCCAGTCGGCGTGTAGGCGCCGGGCCCAGGCCTCCCGTCGTCCTTCAGGGCGAGCCTCTCCGTGCCAGAGGCGAGGCTCGACAGGGGCCCGCGGCCCCGCGGGGCGCCCCTCTCCGAGTAGTGGCCAGGCCCTGGCGTCTCGACTACCCTGGTAACCGTCCTCGGCGGCCCTCTCCCGAACTCGCCGAGGGCCCTCTTCGCACTGCCCGACGCCCCCAGCACGTCGTAGTGGCCGGGCCCCGCCGTCTCCGCGCCGCAGCCCGAGAGCAGCTGCGAGGCGTTCCTCGGAGGCTGCCTCACCAGCCGCCCCGCGCCGCCCTCGACGTAGCCGCAGCACTGGTGGCCCCGCGGGATGGAGGGCGCGCTCGCCGAGTGGAACATGAGGCCCCTCTCCGCCTGTCGCGCGCCCACCCAAGAAGGTCCGGCGTCTCGGGAGGTGTTCGAGACACGGGCCCCCTACAACGCCTCGACCACTTCCCTGGGACCAGCTCCTCATCCCCAAGTCTTCCTCTGACCGCCCCGAGGCCCGGCAAGGGCCCCGAGGGGCCGAGGACGAGGAGAAACACCTCCGTCGCGCTTTTGTTCGAGAGGGCAGGATGTCTGGGCCCCCTCCGCCTGCGGCGCGCCCATGGTCCGGCACGCCTCCACGCACAGGGGGGCCCCTGGCGCCTCGTAGGCGCCTGGCCCTGGCCTCGGCTCCTTGGCCTCGGCGGGGACGCCCCCCGTGCGCGGGGCGCTCGACTGGAAGGGCGCGGCCTTCCTGTCTCGGTCACACGAAGGAATCACCCCAGGCAAGAGTGACCTTCGGTAAGCGGCTTTGGGGGCCGCGGGGGGGCCAACTTCATGCGCGTGGCCAATCCCGGGTGGGACCCCAAAAACTGTTTTCTTACGAATTATTTCCGCGTAACGGTCGTTGCCGGCAGGGGGAGGCCCCCAGGTAACGCGAACGCTTGGGGGGGGGGCACCTGCGCAAAGCCTGCGAGCACTGGCAGGGCGCCTGCGAGCACTGGCAAGCTCTCCCCCCAAAACGCACGATCGTTACCGTTACCCGAGTGGGGGCGCCCGGGTAACGCCCGTTACGCGCCAGAGGATGAGAGAAAGCCGCACCAAAGGTCACTACGCCGAAAGGTCACTACTACACGTAGCCGATCCTAGGCAGGCCCGAGCTGTACGTGCCGGGCGGCCTGGGGTCATAATCGCCAGGACCTGGCGGCGGCTCTGGCGAGCCCGCCGCGCGCAGCGGCTCGCTGACGTCGCGCGCCCTGTCCGAGCCGAACGGCGCGCAGCTCGGCGCCGTTTGGCGCCTCACCAAAGGCGCGGCGTACGAGCCGGGGCCGACGGCAGGGTTGGCGTCCTCCTTTGGGGTGTGCGTTGCAAGACTCAGACATGCAACGTTATCACAAAATCAGGGCGGAAGTTGTTTCGCCGCTTTCGGCCTCTGCAGGGGCCCTTACCGGATCCCTGGACCGTCAGAAAAAACAACTCAAAATGATAAGACCGTCCCAGGGAGAGGGTCGGGCTTTCCAGGGACGCATCCGCCGACTTGATACTTTCAATCCGCGGCTCCAGGGCTCCCGACCCCTTGCCCGGGGGTAGTTCGGCGTCCCTGACCCGTTCTGAATGGTCCCGGGTCCCGGAAACGGCGCCCAGAGGACACCTCGTCGGCGGTCTAGGGAGGCGCGCCCCCGCATGAGGCCCAGAGCGCCCCCCGGGGGGGGGGGGGCCCACAGTGGCGCGCGAAGCTGGGGACACCCTGAAGGAGAGGAGGGGGAGGAGGAGGAGGAGGAGGAGGAGGAGGAGGAGGAGGAGGAGGAGGAGGAGGGAGGAGGAGGAGGAGGAGGAAGAGGAGGAGGAGGAGGAGGAGGAGGAGGAGGAGGAGGGCCAGGACCACCTCTGGCGCCACCCCGATCCTTCGCCGCGGCGAACCTGCTGCCCTTCGCGGTCCACGCCATGCCGGCTCGGCCGGCCCCTCCGGGGACGGCCCTCGGCCGCAGCGGGCCGACCGCCGCAGGCGCTACGGGCGCCGCCTGTTTTCTGAGCCCCCCATCCCTCCTCCTCCTCCTCGCCCTCCTCCTCCTCCTCCTCCTCCTCCTCTCCTCCTCCTCCTCCTCCTCCTCCTCCTCCTCCTCCTCCCATTTCTGAGCCCCCCATCCCTCCTCCTCCTCCTCCTCCTCCTCCTCCTCCTCCTCCTCCTCCTTCTGAGCCCCCCCCCCTCCTCCTCCTCGCCCTCTTCCTCCTCATCCTTCACCCTGCCTCCCTCCCTCCCTCCCTCCACAAATCACTCGGGACGAAAGAACCGAGGAGCTCCGAAAACTCTTGGGAGACAAAGAACCGATCCCCAGGAAGGGGCCGAGACCTCCACCAAGGCTCGACCTAAACTGCTCGCAAAAACACCGTTTAGGTCGAGCCCTAACTTCCACGTCGTGAAAAAATCGTGGCGTCGAGGGGTCTGGGTCTGGGCGTCGCTACGCGGCGCTCGCGGCCGTCCGAGAAGAGGCACGAAAAATGAAAGACGACGACGACGACCACCACCACCACCACTATCACCACCACCACCACCACCACCACCACCACCACCACCACGACGACGACGACGACGACGACGACGACGACCTACCTGCAGCCCGCGCGCTGCGGCGCGCCACCAGCTGCGAAGAGGGAGGTGGAGACGAGGAGAGGAGGGAGAACGAGGGGAGGAGCTTTTCTCCCACCCATCCTGTGGTGTTGGGTCCTCGTTTTGAAGAGACGGCGCCCCGCGTTCTCTTTCTCCCGCCTCCTTCCTCCTCCCCTTCCACCCTCCTCTCCCTCCTCCCTGCGTTTCACCCACCCAGTACAACGTTTCGTGGCCCCATAGGGAGCTCCATCGAAGCCCCCAGTGCCACCGCCCGCACTCGTCCCCCACACCCATTTCGGCACACCCCCCACACGCTTCGTGGCCCCAAAGGGAGCTCCACCGAAGGCCAAAGTACTACCGCCCGCACGCGTCCCCCACACCCATCTCGGCACACCCCTCACACGCTTCATGGCCTCATAGGGGGCTCCACCAAAGGCCCCAGTGCCACCATGCGTCCCCCACACCCATTTCGGCACACCGCCCACACGTTTCGCGGCTCCCTAAGAAGCACCACCGAAGGCCCCAGTGCCAACGCCCACACGCGTGCTCCGCACCCATGTCGGCACACACCCCACACGTTGCGTGGCCCCATACAGAGCTCCAACGAAGGCCCCAGTGCCACCGCCCGCATGCGTCACCCACGCCCATTCCAGCACACCCCTCACGCGTTTCGTGGCCACATAGGGAGCTCCATCGAAGGCCCCAGTGCCACCGCCCGCACGCGTCCCCCACACCCATTTCGGAACACACACCCAACACGTTTCGTGGCCCCAAAGGGAGCTCCACCGAAGGCCTCAGTACTATCGCCCGCATGCGTCACCCACACTCATCTCGGCACACCCCTCACACGTTTCGAGGCCACATAGGGAACTCCTCCGAAGGCCCCAGTGCCACCGCCTGCATGCGCCACCCACACTCGTTTCGGCACACCCCTCACACGCTTCGAGGCCGCATAGTGAGCTCCAATGAAGGCCCCAGTGCCACCGCCCGCATGCGTCATCCACACTCATCTCGGCACACTCGCACACCCCTCACACGCCTCGAGGCCACATAGGGAGCTCCATCGAAGGCCCCAGTGCCACCGCCCGCATGCGTCCTCCACACCCATTCGGCACACTCCTCACACGCACCGTGGCCCCATACAGAGCTCCAACGAAGGCCCCAGTGCCACCGCCCGCATGCGTCACCCACGCCCATTGCAGCACACCCCTCACGCGTTTCGTGACCCCGTACGGGAGCTCCATCAAAGGCCCCCGTGCCACCGCCCGCACGCGTCCCCCACACCCATTTCGGCACACCCCTCACACGTTCCGTGGCCCCAAAGGGAGCTCCATCGAAGGCCCCAGTACCAATGCCCGCACGCGTCCGCCACACCCATTTCGGCACACCCATCATACGTTTCGCGGCCCCATGGGGAGCTCCAACGAAGGCCCCAGCGCCACCGTCCGCATGCGTCCGCCGCACCGATTTCGGTACATCCCTCACAAGGTTCGCGGCCTGATAGGAAGCGCCACCGAAGAAGGTATTCGCAATTGTGGTACTCACAACTGCATGTGATTGAGTCGTTAACCCGGCTAATTTAATGATGATGCTACTGATAATGATTATGATGATGCTGCTGCTGCTGCTGCTGATGATGATGATGATGATGATGATGATGATGATGATGATGATGATGATGATGATGATGATGATGATGATGATGATGATGATGATGATGATGATGATGGGGGGCGAAGCAGGAAAGGCCTCTTAAACGCGGCATGGGGTTCCTGGCGACAGCCGAAGGTCTCATGCACAGTATGGTACCAGTCCTCTAACCAAGCGTTCGCATCTACCCTGTTGTTTGCAGCATCGTCAAAATACCGGGGCACAACGAAAAAGGGCGCCCTTGCCCAGACGAATCCTCCCCACTCCTCCCTCCTCTCCCCGTCGAGACAATGGAGGAAGCGGCGGCAATCTAGCCGATTCAACGTCCTTTTTCGCCGCGCGCAGCGCAAGTTGAACACCACGGAAAATGACCGCCTCGGAGCTGCAGCCTCGCAGCAAATCCTGGAAGCGATTACAACACTACTACTTAACCAAATCTCCGAAGCGGCGATTGACAAAACGACATTCATCACAAACGTGTCTGGTGTGCTGGGCGGTGCAAGGCCGGAACGATCAAAAAACTGAACGGACCTGCATAGTGGAGCGAACGCTGCCCAGCACACTCTGCAAGTCAATTTGCGCATGGTCAGACGAATCTCGGCCGAACACAATGTTCGGCCAAAACACGGCTGATCATGCGTGTTGGCGTTCCGTGGCGGTGCGCCAAAGTGGGGTGGCGGCGGCATACGAACGCAACCTCTACGGCCGTAGGTGGAGCACCGTCTGAGGCCACGAAACGTGCGCGGTAAATGCCGAAACAAAAGCATGCGGAGGGCAGAAGCAAAGGATGGGAGGAAGAGGAGGAGGAGGGGGAGGAGGAGGAGGAGGAGGAGGAGGAGGAGGAGAAGGAGGAGAAAGGAGGAGGAGGAGGAGGAGGAGGAGGAGGAGGGCGAGGAGGGCGAGAAAGGAGGGAGGGAAGCCGCCAGGCGCCGCGGATTCAAAACGAGGACCTAACTCAACGCAGGACGGTTGGGAACAAACCGCGGACCATCTGGAAACTGCCAATTAGCCTGGCGAAGAGCCCAACCATACGCAGCTGTGAATACCGCAAATATGAATATCATCTTCGCCCGCGTTCCCTATGGGGCCACGAACCGTGTGAGGGGCGTGCCGACGTGCGTGGCGGGACACGCAACGCGAGCGAAGACGATAGGTCTGTGTGCGAGAAGACTGATAGCGAATGATTGTGGATGAATCTACGCGCGCGTGAGTCTACGTGCATCAATGTCGACACCCATTTCGGCGCGCCTCTCACGAGGATCGCGCCCGCTTCCTTCCCCTTATGTTTCTCCCTAGTTTGCCCGTGCACGCCCACGTCCAAGGCTGCGGGCGCGGCGCCGCACGGAGTCCCCGCGACGCCCGCTGGTCGCCCCCAAGGGGTCCTGGCGACGCGCGCGGGTCGTCCGCTGCGCGGAGCAGAGAGAGCGAGCGAGCAGGCTGGCTCCCGCCCAGGTTGCGAGGCCCAAAAACGGCCTCAATACGTCAAATACTACGAAGGACCTCTGGAAATCAAACGTCGCCACCATGCGAACTCCGCCACTGGACCGCCTGCGAGTTCCGCCACGGAGACCTTTGGTGGAGCTCCCTGTGAGGACACGAAACGCTGTACTGGGTGGTAGATGACGCATGCGGGCGGTCCCACTGGGGCCTTCGGTGGAGCCCTCTATGGGGCCACGAAACGCTGTACTGGGTGGTGGGTGGCGCATGCGGGCGGTCCCACTGGAGCCTTCGGTGGAGCTCCCTGTGGGGCCACGAAATGCTGTGCTGGGTGGTGGATGACACATGCGGGCGGTCCCACTGGGGCCTTCGGTGGAGCTCCCGATCGGGCCACGAAACGCTGTACTGGGTGGTCGATGGCGCATGCGGGAGGTCCCACTGCGGCTTTAGGTGGAGCTCTTTATGGGACCACGAAACGCTGTACTGGGTGGTGGATGACGCATGCGGGCGGTCCCACTGGGTCCTTCGGTGGAGTTCCCCATGTGGTCAAGAAACGTTGTACTGGGTGGTGGGCGACGCATGCGGGCAGTCCCACTGGGGCCTTCGGTGGAGCCCCCGTATTGGGCCACGAAACGCTGTACTGGGTGGTGGATGACGCGTGCGGGCGGTCCCACTGGGGCCTCGGTGGAGCCCTCTATGGGGCCACGAAACGCTGTACTGGGTGGTGGATGACGCATGCGGGTGGTCCCACTGGAGCCTACGGTGGAGCTCCCTATGCAGCCACGAAACGCTGTACTGGGTGGTGGATGACGCATGCGGGCGGTCCCACTGGAGCCTTCGGTGGAGCTCTCTATGGGGCCACGAAATGCTGCGTTGGGTGGTGGATGACGCTTGCGGGCGGTCCCACTGGGGCTTTCGGTGGAGCCCCCATATGGGGCCACGAAACGCTGTACTGGGTGGTGGATGACGCCTGCGGGCGGTCCCACTGGAGCCTTCGGTGGAGCTCTTTATGGGGCCACGAAATGCTGTGCTGGCTGGTGGATGACGCATGCGGGCGGTCCCACTGGAGCCTTCGGTGGAGCTCCCCATGGGGCCACGAAATGAAGGAGGAACGGGAGGAGGAGGAGGAGGAGGAGGAGGAGGAGGAAGGAAGGAAGGAAGGAAGGAAGGAAGGAAGGAGGGAGGGAACGCGGGGACCGTCTCTTCAAAATGAGGACCCAACAACACAGGCCCGTCATCACAAAGGCTAAT